TATATTATTAATAATAATAGTAGTGTTAATGATAACAATAATAATAATAACAATAACAATAATAGTGATAACAATAACATCAATGGTAATGATAATGATAGTGATAATAACAATGATGATAAATGAAAATAATAATGATAACAACAACAGTGATAATAACAGCCATTAATAACAATCATAAGTTCTAATCATCCCCCCAATCGTATCTCGCCTCGAAATCTCGAAGACAAAACCTCCCCTAAGGACGCCCACGTAGATCGCCGTCAGTTCCAGCGCCTCTCCTTCCCTTCCCCGAGGCCGCCCACGTCCACGACCTCCCCCGGGAACAAAGGCCGCCCATCCCTCACGCCGGCCGAGTCATGGTGGGCGTAGGCGAGAGGTGTAATGGCGATATCCAAGTATCAGTTATTTTTCGAAGGCTAATTGTGTTGGGGTAATTTCTGGTAGTTCATGGTTTTTTTGTTTTGTTTTTTAGTATTATTTTATAGTAATAAGTACTCGATTGAATGTATATATATGCATATGTGTGTGTGTGTGTGTGTGTGTGTGTGTGTGTGTGTGTGTGTGTGTGTGTGTGTGTGTGTGTGTGTGTGTGTGTGTGTGTGTGTGTGTGTGTGTGTGTGTTTGTGCGTGTTCTACGTATCTCCCTCATATTTACTCCCCACATCTCTTCCTAGAAGACTAAGAAAACGGACATGCACACGCTACATTACTTATCACTATCCTCAAAATACCTTCTGACTCACAAATTACCAAAACACTTTATCAGAAAGGAAAATTTCCAGGCTATTATAATTAACCCATGTTTGGGAGTCAGCTCTTTGCATTCAGACTAAATAACCATTTCACACCTAAACTTAAAACGATTTGCATATGTAAAATACAGTCGAAATCGCCAGCATACGATAAAAAAGTTCGTTCGCGTGGCCCAAGAGAGGAAATAGGTATGTGCTGACCACGTCTCGTCCCTCGCGGTGTGATTCTGGCCTTCTTCTTAGTGGGTCGCCCTCCTGAAGCTCCTCTTGGCCTTATTCGGACGTCATTCATGTTCGGATGTCGAGAGTACCGCTTCTAATTCCGAATATGTCATCAATGGCTATCGACTTTTATTAATACAGGTTTCTCTCTGTAAGGAATAGCAGTGATATCGCTGTATTTCGTGGTTTTATGAGCAATAGCATTCGGCGAAAGTGGTCTGACGCGGGTATGGTGTTCGACTGAGCCATAGTGCACGCTGGCCGCCAGTCACTTGTCATTAATTATCCCGCTCACCGCCAGAGGGCTCGTGCGTGTTGCCGCCTCATAGGAACTTCCCTTTTGCCATAACCGGGCAGGTGAGTCAGCCTTATAGAGTTTCGAGAAAAGAAACTGTGGAACCTTTTTTTTCTCGTAGTTAGGACAGCCAGATAATAGTGTATGGAAGTATACATATGCGTCTCACCAAAGTCCTTCTTACAAGCTGTTGCCACCTGCCATGACATTCCATTCAGCATATTTTCCTGGCAGCTACAGGCACGAGAGAAGAAGAAAAAAAAGTCCAACTAAAACTCCATTTTACAACTCTTTAAACACATATTATTTCTCAGTTATGAATGTTTTCAAGCCACTGAAAAAGATTTTGTGGGCGGTATTCTTGCGTTTATTACGATACATCGAAATATCAGAATGTGATAATTTTGTAAGTCTTTATTACTTTCAGAAAGACTTACAAAGCGACTACCGATGGAGAGAAAGAGAGAAAAAGAGAGAGAGAGAGAGAGAGAGAGAGAGAGAGAGAGAGAGAGAGAGAGAGAGAGAGAGAGAGAGAGAGAGAGAGAGAGAGAGAGAGAGAGAGAGAGAGAGAGAGGAACTTTTAAGGAAAAAAAAAGAAGTATTAATGGCAAAATCCTTCCCGGGGAACAATGATATAAAGGGCCGGCCGCGGGCAGATAGGGTGTTGTGGGAGGGCAGCGCTGGCTTAACTAATCAGCACCAGGACGTTGGTTGTATGCAAAGTAGCAGAGGGCGAGTCTGTCCCCCTCCCCGGCTCGCCGCGTCTCGTCCACCTTCCTCACCCGCCCGCCCTCACACCCACCCGCCCTCTCCTTCTCCCTCGTGGGTTCCTACATTCACATATCCACCAACTTGCCCACGAACACCTTCCTGCCTTGTTACTCTGCTTGTATTCAAGTCTTAATCATGCGTCCGCGGGAGTGTTCTACGCCACTTCTTTCATTTAAAAAGTCTCGCGGAGAGGAACATGCATTTTAATATGTCTCTCTTGCGTCGACTTAACCGACTTTCAGGAATACTCGGGCTTTCACGGGCACAAAGAGGACCGGGCGCTAAGCGGGCAGGTCATCTCACGGGAAACCATGCTTTCCCCGAGGTGCGGCGAACCTCCCTCTCGCCCGCTCGCCGTTGTGGCCGTGTTTAACCGCGCGCGTCCGTTACGTCACGACACCTAGTGCAGATCAGTTTGCTTGGAGAAAAGGGAAAAACAGTGATAAAGGATCATAAT